TTCGAGCTATGGCCGATATTGTGTGCACACGTTAACATATACACGAACACACACATATTAACTCGAGTAAAAAAAGCTAACCAAACCATTATATAATCATCTACCAGTGAATAGACAAACACAAAGTCATCCACTCAATCGTACATACTAACACACACCCACCCATCATGCATATGCACACACACACACACTTACAAGAGAACTAGCCAAATCTTTCTTTAATCATCTATTTTGGAATAGTATTCCAATTATTAGTATCGATACTATGCAGAACAGAGCCAGCCAGTCTTCTTGACTGAGTGCCAACGTGAGACTTTTGCAAGAGTATCTCTCAGCCCTGAAGATGTTGGTTTATTTGACAAACGAAAGCTTAGCAAAACTTCACTCGAAACGAGGGAGGATGTCTCGTGGACGACGCCAATCTAAACTTCGTAGTCAAGCCAAACGGCTGCAATACAACTAAAATCAATCGTCGTCTTCCGATGAGATCGAACCACGAATCTCTTCATTATGCTCTGTCCAACGAAATCAAAGTCTCCACGACAATAGGTTGCATGATTCCGAATAATATAGATGGATCATCATCTTTTCTATACAGCTTCACCCATCTTTGCTGAATAGAATCTTCTTTTTGCTAGAACACAAAGTCTCAATCTCATTAAACTCCTCATCGTTGCTCACATTCCTTGAGTTGAGTTTAATGTCCTAATGACTTCGTAATTTCTTGTCATGACAGCATCGGTGAATGTTATACCTCCTTTCCATCCACCGCATTAAGCAGATGAAGGGAATCTGCTTTGCTTAATCCCGATTTTGGTATCAACCAGGCCATGCCATTTGTCCACACTTTCTTCTCGTCTAGTCCTAATCGGCTAGTCTTGCAAACCGCATCTGCATCGAAAACAGTTTCAACCGAACCACTCGATACTCCTTCTCGAAGGTGATTGCCTCGGGCACAGCGTCAACCAGGATGATCCAGTAGAGCCAATTGACAGCTGATCAAGCGGGAGCCACCGTCGTCTACAACAGGGATTGATCGACCTTCGCGTTTCTCTTCATGTCACGCTCTCCGTCGACATGAAAACTAGCTCAACCAGTCTAGACCAAAAGACGCCTGGAAGTCCATCTCTTGTCTGGCCTCAACCGATTTACCGGTCCACACTTTTTTTCTCCCATCCCTCTAACTCTCGACCACCGAGACGAGCCGACGTACCCATCCTACTCGGAGCAACAGAGCACAGGCTCCATAGTCGAGAGATGATGAATGGACGAGAAGGAAATGTATAAAATAAGTCTGCTCATTCAGTGCTACTTCGAAACGGCTCGTGAGCCGGAAGAGGGGCCCAGGTCTGCGACCGGGCTCAGATGGACATGTGCAAGCGCGGCAGGTTGCGAATGCCGCCTGGTTGCTTGGATAAAAAGATTAGAAAACGAGGCAATAGGCTGATCGGTACTGCCGTCTGGATGGGATAAAAGAGTTTGTTTGCTCAGTTGGTTGATTGGCTGATTGGTCACCAGCCTGCTCAACGAAATGTGGACCAGTCTGGCAGACAGGCTGTACCGGTCGCTCGGACGGTCACGCAGGCAAAGTCGCGAAGTTCGAGTGGGAGACGAAAGTTGGAAACCGTCCATTGGCCGGTTGCCGGGTTAAAGGTTATAAGGTCAGTGGCGTCTGCGTTCCGCTTGGCTCCGCCCAGCAGGTGAATCGAGTCCTCGTCGGCGAAGGCGTCTGAAATCAGACAGCCGGATTAGATGGACACAGGCATGCCGACAATCGAGTGAACAAGATACAGTTGACACGACTTACAGGCGCCGTAGCGACCCTCTGGCATGCGGTCGAGGCTGGTCCATACGTCGCGTCCGGTGGAGTACATCTGCACCGAGTCCCAGTTGTCCGAGTCGACTCCGCCAAAGATGAAGATGTCACCGTTCCAAGAGCAGACGGCCGCACGATAGAGCCTGGCAAAAGAAGAGGAAAATAGAGCATACCGTGACTGAACATGTGCCCACGAGTCTGCAAACGCATCCATCTCCGCGTCGACTGACAGACGCCAGACGCTCGAGGCCCACTTCACACATCCTCGCCGACTCGGTCTTTGGTGCAGACTGTAGACAAAGTAAACTGGGGAGAAGGCAAGGATCTCTTCTTCACAGACACTTCGAGTGGAAGTATTGGGTGAAGAGATTCGAAGATCGGTTCCACCAGAAAACGACGGCTCGTAGACAAACCCAGCAAAGGCATACCACGTTGACATTGTCGTCGGTGTCTTGTGGTGAGACGGACCAACGCGAGTCTTCTTTCGAGTCGAGCCGACAGATCATGCTCAACAGAAACAGATGGCCGAGCTCAA